CGCCGTGTCGCCCGTTTTGACTTTACCGGGACAGCACATATCCGCGACTTCTTTTGGTGTAAAAGTGTAGAAACGATGAAAACATGTACCCATTGTAAACTGGTTGGCTTCTTATACGACGCCAAGTCTTCGCGCTCAATGTCAAAGACGCCAATGCCAATACACTGATAAACTAAGCGTTCAACTGCTCAACACTTGCAAGTGTGTAACTGCATAAGTTGAATACTTCCTTAGGTTGAACGCTCTCTGTAGGAAGAGCTCAACCGAGGAGTTCCACACTTGCAAGTGCACACCTACCGAGTTCAACACTGGCAAGTATTCGACTTGTAGTTGCACACTTGCAAGTATTTAACTTGCAGTTGAACACTTGGTGTATTTGGCGTTCAAAGAAAGACACCAATAATTGGCGTACTTAGAAGAAGATTGCCAGCCAGTTTCAAGTCGTCACCTCTCCCTCTCCAACGTTTAATCTCTGTCGGGGTTCCATGAATGCCGGCTCAGAGTTGGCATTCATAAGCCTGTCAGACGAAGCCACACTGGGGATAATAGCGCTAGGAGCCAGGGGTGGCACATTTCCTCGTGATAGAGACAGTTTTGCGGATGCTCGTGAGCCGGGGAACAATCGCCTTTGAACGGACACCAAAGGTGCAAAAAACTAGTGCCTTACGCACTTTTGACGACTTTGTACAGGGAACCATCAACACCTTTTTTGTGGGTGCAGCTTGGCATCTTTGTTTTTTGCAGTGGACTCACTGAATCTGGATTTGTGATAAATTAACCCTCATTTCTGCCATAACTCGTGTTTTGCGATTCCTTCGATTTATCGCTTTTCTGGACATGATAAATTTTTATCGCAAAAAAACATGCAATAAAAAGTATAAGGAAAAGTTATCACCAAAAAAATGTGATAATTTTTCATCGCAAGTTTTTGTGATAAACGTAAATACTAGCTCCCGTTATACACTAAATTTTGCGATGAAAAGTTATCATATTATTTTTGTGATAACTTGCCCTTATACTTTTCATTGCATGTTCTTTTGAGATAAAAAGTTATCATGTCTATAAAAGCGATAAATCAGAGGAATCGCAAAATTGAGTTATCGCAATCTTTTGTGATAAAAGTATCATATATCCAGTTTCAGTGCTGCACTGGAAAAACAGAGGTAGGAATCTACCGACACCCTTCTTGGGGTGTTAATTTCTTCGGTGTTTGGTGCCTTTACAGAGGCAGAGGCACGAGAAGATTCGCACCCATAGAAAGGCACGAAAATACCCCAAAGGTGCTAAATTTTAGCACTAGGCATTAAAATTGAGGGCCCCTTTAAAAGGTACAGGTTCCTAGGCCTACCTTTCTTTTTCTAGTGTAAAGACACGGAGTGTAATTATCCCGCGCTCCGGCGCCTATATTCCAGCCCGACAGCTGGTCCGGCGGTGCGAATGCGGATCGGAAGTTCCGCTCCCCGTTGTGTTTCCCCGTTTGCAATCTGTCGCGGCGCGGGCGGGCTTCCCACCCCTCTCTCTCCAATGAGGATGATAGTCGGCCGCCCCTCGCCCGCGATAGCGCCGCAGCCCGCGCCAGGCCTTTCGGCCGGATCAGTCAATTAGCATATGACTCGGGG